CCTTAAGTTTTTAACTTTCCTTTTTCCTTTCATTTGTTTGTGTTTCTCCCATGGTTCATAATCTAAATTTCCTACTTCGAATTTTTTCTAGATTACTGCCATGACCGGTGATGGTGTAAATGACGCACCTGCCTTGAAGAAAGCCGAGATTGGAATTGCTATGGGATCAGGAACTGCGGTTGCGAAGTCTGCTTCAGAAATGGTCCTAGCCGATGATAACTTTGCATCCATTGTGGCTGCTGTGGAAGAAGGTCGCGCCATCTACAACAACATGAAGCAGTTCATCCGATATTTGATCTCCTCCAACGTTGGAGAAGTCGTATCCATCTTCTTAGTAGCTGCTATTGGCATTCCTGAGGCTTTAATTCCTGTGCAATTATTGTGGGTCAACTTGGTTACTGATGGTCTCCCAGCTACTGCTTTGGGCTTTAACCCACCCGATTTGGATATCATGGAACGCCATCCACGATCAGCTAGTGAGAGTTTGATCTCGAAATGGTTATTCTTCCGTTATTTGGCTGTTGGAAGTGAGTTTTCCTTAAGTTTCTTGGCGGTTATCAGCCTAGAGCTGCGCTTATCTTAGCATATGTCGGAGTTGCAACTGTCGGAGCAGCCATGTGGTGGTTCCTTTTGTACGAAGATGGACCACAGATCACCTACTATCAACTTACCCACTGGATGAGATGCGAGGTAGACTTGAGACATTTTTTTCATGTTCTTATTCATTTTTACTTACAGATCGAGCCAGAAAACTTTGCTGATTTGGACTGTGCTGTGTTTGAGGACAACCATCCTAACGCCATGGCTTTATCTGTTTTGGTTACCATCGAAATGCTGAACGCCTTGAACTCGTAAGCCTTTTGAAGCCTTCTCCGGCTATAATTTAGATAATCGTTTTGCAAGTGAATATAATATAATCTAGCCTGTCTGAGAACCAATCCCTGTTTGTGATGCCACCATGGGAGAATATGTGGTTGTGCTCTGCCATTGCTTTGTCAATGTCCCTCCACTTTGTGATCCTGTATGTCGACATCATGTCTACGATCTTCCAAGTGAGTTAACGATTCTTTATTCAACTTCCAGAAGCACAAATTGAGTTGCCATAAAGAATCCCCTCGTGTAAAATTTGTATAAGTTTTTTTTTTTTGAATTCATGCCATATTTGCGCCATCCAGTCACCAAAAAAATTTAAAAAACAATGATTTTGACTAGAAAAACCAAAGCGTAGATAAAATGATCTAGTATTCTGATTTGTTTCTGTGTCTTATTTTCTTGTAGTATAACTTCATCTTTTGGATTTTTTTTGCATTATTTCATATTATAATAGGGAAGAACTTAGTTGTTTTTTTTTCAAGTTCCAATCTCTATAAAAACCTCATATTTGCAGATTACGCCGCTAAGTGTTGCCGAATGGATGGCTGTGCTCAAGATCTCCTTCCCTGTAATCCTCCTTGACGAAGTGCTCAAGTTTATTGCACGCAACTACATCGACGGTAAGCTGGAATCGCGAGCAGCCAACATACGAGCGATTATTTCGCTGGGTGCCCTGTTCACTTTATGGTGTGCCTACTTTGGCTGGATACTAGGGCCATATGCAGGGGGCATTGATCGGGCGTTTGGTGTTTCCTTAACTACGACACCTTCATCACATTCTGACCTATAGTAATTTTAACATAACACCTCGACGTTGATTGTTAACTACTGCTATATTTATTGGAAGCGTGTGTGATGTTGTTTTCCTTCTACATCCCACTAACCGAATGGAGTGCTGTTGTTCCAACTGATCGTCGACAGAGGATGCTTTTGAACCTCAAGATGTCGTTTGCACATTATCTATGTCTCTTATTCCCTATTTATATGCTCATGCGATATGCTTATTTTTCGCGTATTCAGGGGTTCATAAGCGCCTTTCTTGTCGTTTCCGTTCTACTAGGAAAAGGAGCTCAAAAGTTTGTAGATTTTGAGATTTTGTTTTTTTGGGTCTTATGAGGGATAGAGAGATTTCGATGGCTGAACAGACTGACCTAACAGCTATTTGAATCTCATCGAAAGTTCGTTCTTCCATTGAGCTTTTGAGCGCCAAAAATCTGATTTTAATTAAATGTCCCAAAGCTGATCATCACCATGTTCCCACTCCCTCGACGGCGGACTGAGTTTCTGACGTTTGGAAAATTTGTTTGCGGGATCTTTTGGGGCTTCCTGTTGTTCCTCCTTAGCTTCATTTCACCTATTGTTCTGTTTGATAGACGTCATACATGTACACCGTATGTCTCATCCCTTTACAAGCTTTTCTAAGCTGATCTTCTTTTTAATTTATTGTTGTTTTTCACGAGCGTAATTTAACGCTGTCGGCACAACGTTATTTGTCTCTATGTCCCTAATTATCTTGTCACCTAAGGATTTGCCAAATAAGTGACGAGCTCCATTCACAAATCGCCTGCAATAGATGTGAAATTAATAACTGCATAATAATTGTTACTACTTCATAATGGTTGTGAGTGATATGAAACGGGCGAATCGAGTTGCGAGTCGTCCTATCTCTCGTTTTCCATGTTTTCGTTTTTTCTTTTTCGTATAGTTCAGTTTTATTCCTATTTATTTATAGTTGTTCTTATCGCGTTATAACTTATTTCACCCATGTGTTT